GAATAATTTAGGATAATATATATATTAGTACCAGGGAGAGAAGATTAATTTATATATATATATATCTACATGAAACTAATCCTTATTCTTATACTTCTCAGTATCCAATATTCAAGTAGTTGCGGAGAAAAACTCTTGGGAATAGAATGAATATTCCCCCCCTCCCCCCTTCCCAGGTTTGACATCTGGGACTATAAGGAATGTCTCTGGTATTATCATATAACTGAGTTAGCTTCATCTAAAGAGTAAGAATTCTCAAGGGTGAAACTGCGGAAGCATTGCGTCAAATCATCTTCTATATTCTTCTTGCAACTCTGTTAATTATTCTCAATTTTCAAAAATCTTTTATGTTTTTCTCCAGCGGTTTTTTTCATAGTTTTTTTCATTAGTTTTTTTTCATACCCCGCATTTTATTAATTTAATACTTTTAGTATTTTAGTATTTTTAACTTATAAAGTAAACCTATTTTTTGGTTTCATAAAAAAGCTCCTAAAAATAATTTATTCTTTATACCCTACTTTAATTGTTATTTTTATATTTTAATTGTTAACTTTCTCTTAATAAAAATCCTTCATTATTAATTTTATTACGTATATTTGAAATTTGTTATGGTTCAATTTATGGATTGTCCCTGGTTTTCCATATGGAAATACATCTGAAGCAAGTAAATGGATTTAAGAAGGAATGTAAACATAGAACAATTCGGATTTAACGACTATTTAATGTAAAAATATGCTAAATCTTTACAAAAACTTCACATCTTTATTCCATGGGCGGCTATAAAAATACATCGTAAAGTTGTAAAATGTTGAAATCCTTGAAACAGGAAACAGGAATAAAATCCTTGAAACAGGAAACAGGAATAAAATATGCAAAACTTGAAAACTTTTTCTGTTTTAATAACGGAAGAAAAACAAAGGTTTAAACAAATTTTATAAACTTAGTTGAACAATTTATTTATTTTATTTACGAGTCATAGCTACATAACAATCCTATATTAAATGATAAATTTTATAAACGTTTTTTACGTCATATCGCTACCTTTAGAGAAAGTTTTTCTTAAACACGAAATTGGAAATGTCTTAAAGCTTGACTTGCATAAATGAAACCAAGTCGTAGACTTTTTTTTAGACGAGTTTAAAATATTTCAGAAAGAAATAATCAGATGAAAACGGTTTACGGGGCGAAGGCGCTACTGAGGGTAAGGGGTAGGGCGAAAACTTTGTTTTTATGTAAAAATGTATTTGGCGTGGCATGCGAACATTTTTCAGAATGAATTCCTAGAATTTTTCAATCTTTCAAAGTCTTGATATTTTCGATACTTCAACCATTTTTTACTTATAAAGTGGGAAGCAATGGAAAGGTGGCTGCTTCATAATTTACCAATTGAATATATTAGTATTTATCTCTTTTGTTTTGCACGTCAGATCATAACCTATGAACCCGTTGACTGATTTGCCTTAAACTTGTGAACTTGGTAAACGGTTAAAATTTTAAGTGGAGTGGGTTGACTTTTTAAGAGAAAAATTAGTTTCTAGGCAAAGCTGGATTCCCAAGCTATATATCGTATTAAATAAAATTAAACAGTTTATCATAGATTTATGAATTCTTGAAGGGAGCTATTCTAAAGTGTTATAATAAAATTATGCTAATTAGACCCTAATCAGTTAATGAACACTTTGCATACTTATCACAAACTCCAGCAATCTTCTTCTTTATTTATAGAAAAAAAGAACAAACACAAAGTTCATAATAATTAAAAACATATTTTTTTTGAATTTGTAAAATGATAGCTTACTGAGCTTTAAACTAAAATAATACCCAAAGATTAAGTTTTGATAACGATATAAGAAAATTTTGAGAAAAAAAAACTAGTTTTGACGTTAAATCAAAAAAAAATACTCTGTCCCCTCCCTTGAAATCTGAAAAACGAATCCATATAAACAAACATTTATCGTAAGAGATTGAGTGTGAGCCACTGATGATTATAGACCCACAAGGGAGCTCTTTCTATATATTCATCTTTTGCTATTTAGTTACATGGAGTCAACAGGTTTGTTCACTATTTGCTGTTTATTGACCTTAAACCAGCTCTTGAACAGTCCAACTATTTGCTGTTTATTGACCTTAAACCAGCTCTTGAACAGTCCAACTATGTCACAGTAAAATGTACACAAACAAAAGACAGGAGGGAATGTCCTACGATTTCTTTTTTTTTAACTGTTTGGAAATGAAGTCCTATAATATAGCCCTAAAACATTTCTGTGTATAAAGTCCTTTAAATAAAAGGCCTGTAAACCACACTAAACTAGACAGAAGTTTGACCTTAACTTGTAAGACGTTGTGACTTTTTTTTTCTCTATTTTTGCTTAAAAGAAAGGTTGAATTTTTGAGATAATTATTTTTTTACTATTTGTTATTACTGCAGAAAAGAGTATTTTTTCATGTGATGTGATGTGATGGAAAGGGATTTGATGTGATGTGATGTGATGTGATGTGATGTGATGTGATGTGATGTGATGTGATGTGATGGATGTCATGTCATGTCATGTCATGTCATGTCATGTCATGTCATGTCATGTCATGTCATGTCATGTCATGTCATGTGTTACTAAAAATGACTGTTGACATAATTTCAAGTGACATTTAATTAAACCTTAAACTTAAAATTGATTATTTTTTATTTACAAATTAAAAATTTTCCAGATAGAATCAAAACAATGTTTTCAGTTTTTTTTGCTTTGCATGCCAATCTGTAAATGGGGTCATGTAAAATTTAGTGTACAGTCCCTTTAAATTCTAAAATAGATCTCTATTGAACAGAATTCTCTATTGTTAAAAATACTGTTCCTGTAATACTTGACTACTAATGTTTCTGAATATATAATGACAGGTCTATTAAGCATTATAAGTTATCAGCTGTATTTGGATGTATGTATGAATAGTGTAATAATTTGTAATAATCTGCATGTGTTGCCAATATCTACAATAATATACATTATACAATATTTATAGATTAGTTTTAGTTTAGAGAACCAGATAAAATATATACCCTTCTATAATCTTCCAAGATCAATGAAAATTCTTTTCTTAGGATATAAACAATAATGCTTACATTATTGATTATGATAACAAAAAGTTGCCAATACCTGATCAAATTAATCTCTTACTTTAAAACCTTACTTAGAAATTGAATTGAACAAAATTTCTCATTTTAATTTTATGAGTTCAATGAAACATAAATATCTTTAAATCTAATAAATCTTTAAACCAATTTTAATTAAACCGTTCGGCGTTTATTCAGAAACTAACCATTCTGACAAATAAATCCTGCTAACGCAAATCCACCAATTTGTAACATGTCAAATGAGTAGTATGGCGCCTAGGCCACTTAAGGTTTCTTTTTTTCACAAAAACGTTATCTCCCCGGATGTTAGGCCTAAGCCCCTAAGGCATAATGCATCCCTTATTCATTCTTTACAGCATGTATTTAGAATCTTAATGCTTGTAAGTTTCAAAGATGAGATTTCCTTTAAAATGTTTTGTAATAATTTCAATCAATTTCATTTCTCATTTTCTTTGACAACATTTTTCGTTTTGAGATAATTAATTTTTATTGAAAGCATTATTGATNCAACTAGCATAGTTAGAGAACAACTAGCATAGTTAGAGAGCAACTAGCATAGTTAGCTTAGTAATCGCAGGAAATCTTAACTTTTCCTAAAAAAGTCAATTAACTCAATATTGAACTTTCAAACCAAAATTTGAGGCAAATCAGTCAAGGGGTTCTAGAGTTTTGATCAGACATATGAAACAAGACCGTACTAAAATGAAGAAAGAAATTCATTAATTTCAATCAAACTCCGCAAACTCAATTTTTTAGTCCATATATCTTTGTAATTTAAGGGTGTAAACTTTGATAATTCAGCTTAGAATATTGATCTAACAGAGTCCGAATTTATGAATTTGAGCCGCGTCTCAGATCCGGTAAACCCCGATTTCAATTGAGCGCCTGCTTAACTTTTAAAACATTGAATTCAATTTTAAGTGGAACCAACCATATTTGAGCCGCGTCTCAAGTTTTTTTTAATTCGGCCTCAGAATTCTTAGTTTGAAATATCTAAGGTCTACGATATTGGGTTGCATAGATATTGGGATTAGAAGATTTGAGCTTGTGGCAAAGACTCAATTCCTTAAATATAATGGATAGTAATCTAAAAAGAAGTAATTATGTTCAAGAACAAAACACAAAAAAATTGCTTTCTATAATTTATTTTGCAGCTATATAAGCCTTTAATACAGATAGTAATTCATTTTTTAAACGATTGTCACAGAGCAAAAACTATGAGAAAGCCAACAAGTCTTTTATTTAAAAATAAAATGCAAGCTTTACTATACAAGGCTCTAACTTGGTTCTTTGGCACAATATAACATTTTACAAGAAATTTTAGAAACATTATTTCCAGAAACAATAATGTCTTTAAAGATTATACATTACAATGATTGGTAACTGGTTCCGTGAGATACATACAAAAATATTTACTTTAAACTTAATGGTCTCAAATTTGATTTTTTTAACGGGTTCAACGTCACTTCTTTATGTTACTTTTTCTGTTTAATTCAACATTTACAAAAGATAAGTCATCAAAAATAAAAAAATTTAAAATTAAAATTTGAAATAATGAATAAGTAAGGTTCGAATATTGCTAATTAATTGCTGAAGTGTTGATGCCACATTTTATTTCCTAACATTTAGAAGAAATCAAGTAGAATTCTCTACAGTGCCCTATTGTTTCTGCAAAGGAATTCAGTCTTTGTCACAAACTATGATTTTATAATCCCTATATCTTTGGAACCCAATGTCGTAAATTTTTGATATTTTAAACTTTTATTATTTGATCTAACAGAATTCATAGTTTGAAATATCTAAGGTCTACGACATTGAAATCCAAAGATGTAAGCTTTAGAAAAGCAGAGTTTGTGGCAAAGGCTCAATTCCTTTGAAGAGTTGTCCTACCCTGAGATTATTGTCCTGCTATCTAGAGATAATAGATCATTGGAGAAATCAAAATATGTAAAATTCAAATCTTAATAAAAATGTTTTGCTGAATTCCAATTTGAAAACCATTAAAAAATATTAAAAATTGAATAAGCTGAGACCGAAAACTAGGGCGAAAATTGCTTTAACACTTTTTTGGTGAATTTTCATGCTCACTAATTTTTTAATTCGTTTTCAAATTTGAATTCAGCATAAAATGTGCAAGAAAATTAGGTGTAACTTATAATTTTTTTCAATATTTTTATGAGGGCCTGTATAGTGATTTCCTTGACATTAAATCGTCGAACTGCAACCGTATATGAACTATATTGAAAAAACTGTAAATCGCATTATTGTTTTTAGGTCTTAATGAAAAAAAACCCGGTGGTCGGTTGGCTGATTTCTAAAAAACATTAATCGATTATCCCTAACTTGTAACTATCATCGATCATCAACTAGTAACTATAAGCATAAACTAAAGTCTACTGATCCAGATACTCCGAGATTGTATTCCAACTATCGTCCTAACTTCCTAAAATATAATTTGACTTTCCTTAGATTTTAGTTTTCTATTTACAAAATATGGTCACTAAATCTTGAGATATTGTTACAACAAGATTAAAGTCTATCCGGATATAAGCTCCTGACTAGTATAGCTCAGGTTTACTCCTTCTATCTCCTCCTCTATGGTAGACATGGTGAAACTAGTTTCTGCTTGATCCGGAGAAATCAACTTCAATCTCAAGTTCTGGTTTTCTTTTCCCTGAGATCTCCGGTAGAGCCGAGGGTAGGGTTTAGTTGAGGTTAAATAATCTGACAGGTTTTCTGGAACTGAAGAACTGGATTTTGGCATCTGTAATGTTAGACAAAATGTTAGACAAATAGCAACCAATTTAAACCCAATATTTTAAACGTTTAGTTTTAGAATCATGCGTTATGGAAAATCTGCAACAAGAAAAAATTCGCATATCTATATAAGAATTACTTACACTATTCGGCAAAGGTTCAGTCTCCACATGTTTGATTGGTTCAATGGTTGACAGGGCTGGAGTTGATTGAGAGTTTGGTATTACAGCTCCAGGTCTACCTGGACTTGGCTCCGCCGGACCTTGGTTTGAACCGCGTCGGGATCTCCGGGTTGTCAAGGAATGCGCCTGTAAATACAATACTAAAATAAGAAATCAGTAAAATAAATAAAATTATATTTCTCTCTCTCTGAGAACTTTTAAGAACTTGCCTAGAAATGTGTAAATTTATAGAAAAGATAAACGAAAAATTAAGTCTTTGCTACAAACTCAGATTTTCAAATCCTGTATCTTTACTGCACAATCTCGTAGACCTTAGATATTTCAAACTATAAATTCTGTTAGATCCAATTATCTAAGTGAAATATCTAAGGTGTACATCATCCGGTTGCCAAGATATAGGGATTATCAAATTTGTGTTTGTTACAAAGACTCGGCAATTCCTTTAATTTGATAAGGAATAATTTTTTACTTTAACACATAAACTGATGTATAAATGTATTGTTGAATGTTAAGGATATGCAAGATTCTGTTGGAAATATTTCAAATATAAATAAATGTTTAAAGGAGGGATTACAGGTAAAATATACTTACATAATTTTAATCCTCGACTAATAAAGATTTAATATGAAACCTACGCTGCCCCGGAATGGCTTTCCGTCTTTGAATTTTATGTCAAGCTTATAGCTATTATTTTAATTCTTGTATTTTTGGTAAGGGACTGTAAGGGTAATTTCAAGTGATACTCCATGTAGAGATGACAATGCTCAATTTACACTTTATCTGAATTAGATATGAATTAGATATGAACTTTTATGTTTAAACTGTTTGTTTTTATTTGTGGTTTCTCTGCAAAAGTGACGTACGCGTTTCTTGCTTATAAGAAACAATAGAGAAGTTCACAGTAATTAAACGACGCTTTTCATCATATTTTATCAGATTTTATCAAATAACGCTGACAGTCCCTTTAAGTTTGAGACACCCTGTCTATAAATCATAGTGTTTTACTGATAGATGTACAATGTACAGAGAGAAGAGAGGAGAGGTGAATCCTGGAAATATTTTCTAGAAATATTAATATTCTATCTATTCTTAATGTGTAATGATGCAGTCCATACACATACTAATATTTAGTATTGGATATTACTTGGGGAAAGGGGGGGGGCAGTTATTGGATATTGTAGTGATGGTGTATAGGGGGGAAATAGGGATAGTTATTGGATATTGTCAAGGTTATAATGCAAGGAAAGTTATTTCAGAGGTGTGCGCATCTTTTGTACTGCAATGTACAGTCTCTGGGCGGTAATGTAAACACAAAACGGATGTCACAGCCTGACATGGGATCCATCTTTCACATAAAAAATCAATGAAATATTCTGGTCATAGGAAACTGTTATGTGAATTATCAAAATTTAATGCTTTTAACCTCCTTGGATACTAAATGAACACTGATGCATCTATTCTTGTTTACAAATTCTGCCCAGAGAGAACTGGTTTCAATATGTACGCAGAGTATACTCAATTGCAATTAACTTTCCTTGCATTATAACCTTGGATATTGTAGGTTGGTGTAGAGGGAAAATAGTGATAGTTATTGGATATTGAAGTAATGGTAAAGATTGAAATAGGAATATTTATTGGATATTGTAGTGTTGGTGAAGGGGGAAACAGAAATAGTTATTGGAAATTGTAGTCGTGATGTATAGGGGAGAAATAGGGATATTTATTGGATACAAGCTAAAAGGCCCGGCGTTGTCCGTGGATAAAATTTTTTTTTGAAAATTTTGAAAACAAAAAAGATCATTTTTTAGACTATGTCACAAATAGGCTACCCATGAGTGTCCACAAAAAATGTCAGTCCATTCAGTCCAGCCGTTTGGCCGGTTATAGGGAACATATATAAGAATGTCTTGTTTTATTATATAAAATCGTTAGGCTAGTCAGAGGGAACATAGGGGTAAAAAGGGATAGTATTTGGATGTACATGGGGGAGTTGATAGTTATTGGATATTGCGGAAATTAAGGAAATTGATTGTTAGAACCCAGATAAAGATGGTTTGAAAGGATGGTGATCAGGAACTTCATTAGGATAACAAGAAAAGGGGAAAGAGCAAACCGCAAAAGGTTATTGATTAAGAATTAGATCAGAACGTATTGGAAGGGGGGGGGATAATGGTTAAGAATTAGGTGAAGAAGTAAGTGAAGGGTTATAATTTTGGAAAGCTGTTCTTATCAATGGTAAAGTACACTTTTTGGGAGTACTGAGACTCCTTTAATCTATATTGATATAAAAGATATTATTTTCTTTCCAATATTTATGAGAAACCATCCCATACCATCTATTGTGGGACGGTTAGGATATTGAGAAGATTCTTATAGAAAATAGGGTTCGGAGAAGGACCTACAGGGTCAATAGGGTTCGGAGCTGCAGAACGTATGCTTCGGAATAAGAACATTATTCGATCCGTCATTCTAGACTTTCTACAATATGCATTCACTACCACACACACTTCTCCATATACACTACATTGTCTAAAGAGGAAGAACCGGAGAAATGTATAGTTTGTTGATGGAACCTAAACCCGGAAACAGAATCAGAAATTTCAAGAATGAAGAATTAACTGGAGTTGACAGGTCCTAATAGGAACCATGGAGAAATCAGTTTCGTCCTAAATTCTTATAAAATAAATTTTCTTCAGTTCTGCTTTTAGTTGTTAGTCTGTAAATGAACTAAGTTCTTACCACAAAGTCTGAATTTTCTACTCGTATATCTTTGCAACCCGAGTTCGTAGACCTTTCATGTTTCAAATAGATTAAATAGACTAAGATTGTAATATCTAAGGATTACACTGTCAGGTTGAAACGATTTAGGGATTAGAAAATTTGAATATGTTGCAAGAACTTAGTTCCTCATGAATGTAATTAATTGTTTCTTATTTAAATAGTGATGTTTTTTTATAATCGTCTAACCGTCTAAACCGATAGGACTAATTTTTTGTATGGTACTTGACATGGGCAGGGCCCGAGTTGTTAAAGAAAAATTGTAAATATTTAAATTTATGATAAAAAAGGAGAGGACCTTACAGCCAACATGAACATTTTCAATATAATTCTAACAATTGCAATGAAAAGAATTCCTCTGGAAAAATGGACACTGAAGGACATATAGAAATAAACTTACTTGCTATTGCTTTCCTGTATAAAACCTTTATCGGAGAAATTGCAAATATTTCGGAAACAATTGTGCAGAAAATTCTAGGAAAATTCAATTTCTTGTCTTATTGTCTTATTTATCTAGATATATTTTCTAAGTTTTTATGCTAATCTAACTTTAACTTTAAACTCTATGTTATGTACTCCCCGAGCCAATCAAAAAAAATCACAATTAGATATATTTGTTTGGTGTATGTAAAATAAAATGTTGCAGTGTTGGTGTATTTAAAATACTGTTGCAGAAAAGTTAGAAAAGTCTTTTTTGCATTTTACTTTTCAAATAGATTGAATTAAAACTAGTGTGTTTAGAGTATTCCCTTAAATTTTGTTATACAACCAGTATTGTTGATAATATCCATATTTACTCAACGTTTCCAAATACTGTAAGTTTTGTTCAATATATACAAAAAGTATTGAAATCCAATAATTAGCTAGGCCGCTACGACATTTTTGCAAGCATCACTTTTTCTACTTGCAAACAGTATTTATGTTGGATATCACTTTTCTAATTGAAATCTTATCCCAAAACATTATATAAGGATAGGTTAGGCCTATGAGCCACCAAATGCTACAATAGGGGCCGAGCGGTGCGCTGGAGATTTTTATACGGATAAAAAATATAGATATATCAAAAATGACCTACTTTATTTGCTATTAGCAAATATAAAATAAAGCAAAAATTATGTAAAGATAAAATGGCGCTAGGAAAAATGTCGGAGCGTCAGAGGTCGCTTAAAATATACGTAATTGTGTTTAACATAGTTTAAACATTGACGTAGTTAACCTTTAGATACGTGGAATTCATTAGCTATTAGGTTTATCTAAAAATTATTTATTTAACTAAATTAGTTCTGATATTATCTCCCGAAATAATGAGATAATTAAACAAATTATCTTAAAACTTCCAAATTGATTAATGATATACAGCCTTTTGATGGGTCAAATTAAATTATTTGAAATTTTACGCTTTTGATTTTTCAAGAACTTATAAAGGAATTGACTCTTTGCCACAAATCCCAATTTTCTAATTCCTATATCTCTAAAACCAGATGGCGTAAACTTTTGATATTTCAAACTTTGATTATTTCACCCATAAGAATTTATAGTTTGACACATCTAAGGTCTACAACGTTGATTTGTAGAGATAAAGAGATTAAGATATCAGAGTTTGTGACAATGACTCAATTCCTTTATATCCTAACATCAACGATTTGGATAAAAACGTCACTATTCCGAAATCGTCGATTAGTCTTTCCGAAAAAGCATTATCACATATCCTAGTGACGATTTTAAACTAATTATTTTTTCACATTTTTGGTATTGTTTCTTTTAGACAACCTTTCTGAAAAAGTCTAATTTATTTCTTGTTTCATCAATCAAGAGAAATGATACCCCTCCCTTTGGAAAGCTGTTCTTATCAATGGTAAAGTACAATTTTTGGCCATTTACTTGCTCGTTTGTGTACTTTAGAAATTGGGGCATCGTTTTCAGGAAGCGCTGGAAAATCCAGGTTCTATATTTTTGACATATTTAAAACAATGTTTCTATATTAAATGTGTTTATTACTCACCCTAGGATTATGAAGGTTTATTACTCACCCTGGGGTTAGGAAGGTTTATTACTCACCCTGGGGTTAGGAAGGTTTATTACTCACGCTGAGATTATGAATGTTTATTACTCACCCTGGGATTAGGAAGGTTCATTACTCACCCGGGGGTTAGGAAGGTTTATTACTCACGCTGAGATTAGGAATGTTTATTACTCACCCTGGGATTAGGAAGGTTTATTACTCACGCTGAGATTAGGAATGTTTATTACTCACCCGGGGGTTAGGAAGGTTTATTACTCACGCTGAGATTAGGAATGTTTATTACTCACCCTGGGATTAGGAAGGTTTATTACTCACCCTGGGATTAGGAAGGTTTCTGTCGAAGGATGCGCACTGGAAGCTGGAGAGGGAGTCTATGGAGAACCAGGAGGAGGCGGATACTCCGGACCTGGCGGAGATATTAGACTGGACAGATCTGGTGGATCCACAGCTTGAGACGGAAAGGCCGGATGTAACGGAGTAGTTTGAGTCAGAGTGTCGTAGACGTCCCACTTCATACCCGGAGACAGACTTGGGAAGGGTTCGAGTTGATCTGTAATTATTCTTAACGCGGAGAACCTTACAGCCACAGAGAACACAGCACAGGGGAAGGTTTCGGGTTGCAACTGCCTTAATACAAATAATAAGTTAAACTTTAACAAATTTTTTAATAATTTTCAAGGAATTGAGTTTTGCGACAAGTCCTGATTTTCTAATCCATATGTTTTGCAACCCGATGTTTTCAAACTATAAATTCTGTTAAATAACTCAATTCATTTACACCATGTAAAAATGGTTTTATACACCAGACTTCCCGTGACCTTTTTCCCCTTTTATTAAAAAAAAACAATAAATGACGTTTTAATATTTTCAAAGTTTGAATATTTTTGCAATCGTGCAGATATCCGATATTGGGAACTATTAGAGTAAACAAGATTGGTTGGTTAAGCAGCTAGGGTTCAAATAACCCTTTATTCTCAGATATTGCGTCATCTAGTAAATCCTTCGTCGTCATAGAAAAAAATATTGAAAGATAACAAATTTTCGTTAAAAATTTCGAGGGGAAAGCAGGAGGTCTGATATTTCCAAACCAAATATTGTTGAAATTTATTATTTATGACTTTTCTTATTGCTTTTACAAAATTGATTTCTGTTTCCCATGTCTTGAACTTATGGTGTAAAAAACGTGCCAAAGATACATTCTTGAAAGTAAAAATAGGTGGGCCGGGTGACAGTCGAACCAACTTTCTAAGTTGCTTCATTTGTTTTGAAAAGAAATATCTTCTATCGATGATATTTTGCTGATTAAAGGCGGACATTGTATTTCTTTACTCTAAAAAAAGATATTAATCTAAACGGTTTGGCCAAGTATTATCTTATGTCAGAGAAAGATTTTGCACAACGTTAAAAAAGCAAACTGGTATAGTTTAGAGAATAAGATTCTTGCAGGCAGCCTTTTAAGAATAAAAAATTGTATGGTTAAAAACGACAGTAGAATATGAGGATAAAAACGACAGTAGAATAGGAATAAGACCAAGTAAGATTAAAGGTATCACTTTGAATAGTTTTATGAAAAATTAACATTAAAGAAAGCAGTTGTGCAGTGGACACAGACCCATTTTACTTTAAAAGTTCTTTTTCAATCTACTGGTAAAGCTATTTGCTTTATAAAAGCATGAAACCCAAAAAATTGCTTTATAAAAGCACCAAACACACATGTAAGATTGCATAAATGTCGTCTTATTATTCCACAGATGTATTGGTTCCCACTAAACGCCCATCACTATCTATATGTAACCCCAAAATTGTAGAAATAAAAGATTAAATAATCTTGCAAAAACGTTTGTTTGAACAAATGTTGCAGTAAGGTGAGTCAGTTCTTTGTGATAAAATACAAAAATGTTTAACTTTATGATAATGTAATGTTCTAATATTTAATCAATTAATAAATAATAAATAACATTCCTATTTTAAATGTTTAAATCTTAAAAACATTGCTGAAAACTCATTCAAATAGCTGCGCTTCTAGCAATCATATTTGAAGCAAATATAACTACAGTGATTTCCCAGATTGCAAAATCTAAAAATTGACGGAGGTTGATAAATATTTGTTGCCTCTGCCAGAATAATCATCATAAATAAAACATAAACATAATATAAAAACTGTTCCAATCAATGTGTCTGTTTTTATTAAATAAACGTCAAAACAGCTGAACCGATCGGGCCCAAATTTTGTGTGGGATTTTTTTTGTTATGTTTTTTTTTCTGCACAAAGAGAAGATGTTCACAGATAGAGCCACAAATTAAAGTTCAGAAAGAGGATGGGCGCAAAGCTTCTTAAATGCCTAGTATATATAAAATTTGAATAAAATTAGCCCAGCGGCGTGACTTTGAAGAATCACAAAACATTTTGTAAAATAAAACCTAAACCTGAAGTAAAACAGTTATAATCAATATATTAAAAGATAATACAGGCAAAAAGTTAAGGTCAAATTTAGGCGACATTACTGGTATGACTTTGTGATCTCGTAGCTCCTCTAGTCTGGATTTTACGCACAAGTCGAAGGAAGAAAATTTACTCGGCCGGTTACATACATATGAAAGAACTATATATATCTACCTGTTGGATATTTTTTACAAAGCAAAGACGACAAAGGATCTGATGAGAGCAAGGACTAACCAACATCACAGCTTTACTTGATCTACATCCCACACACTAAAATAATGATAAGCTATTAATTTATCAATTAAAAAGTTGATTTTTATAATAACAACAAAATAAACTTTTTTTTATTTTTATAATCTCCACACGTATACAATCACATTCATTATTTTTGTAGCAAGAGGAGGTAGGAACGTTTGTGTGGAAAGTCATTAATCTTGATTTCGATAAACAATGTTGGCACTTTTAATTTTAAGTCAAATGCCTGATCCTTCAATTAAAGATATTCTTACAGGGTATGACAACAACAACGGAAGATCAAAGAAGAATTATGTTTGTATCTCTAAACTAGGCCTTTATAAGATGGAGATTAATGCTTGATCACGAGATTCACAATACAAAAGTTCTGAACTTCTGACTTCTGTTGTTTTTATAGATATTTGTATAAACACTAAATGTACAGCTGCAAAGATCTAAAGGTTAAATTTGGTTTTAACGATCTAAAGGTTAAATTTGCTCTGGAATATATTTTTTATATGTACATTGACTGGTTAAGCAAAAAAAGTAAAAATTTAAATGCCATAAATGTATTAAAAAAAATATGTTAGAGTCGTTTCTGAAGTTTCATCCTTTGTATATTTAACTCAGTGTAATATAAACTCAATTAATTAACAATTTTTTTTGCTGAGAATGGAAACTAGAAGATACTTTAAATATTGTATTTAGTTCCTTAAAGTGAGTGGCCGGTTATGTATGGTGGTTGATATGAATATGCATTAGTGTGGGCAAAGGAATTGAGTTTTTGCCACAAACTCTGATTTTCTAATTTCAATATCGTTGCAACCCAATGTCGTAGACTTTTAATATTTCAAACTATGAATGCTATTAGATCAAATAATGTAAGTTTGAAATATCAAAGGTTTAAATAATAAGGTTGCAAAGATATTGATTTTACAAAAACTGAATTTGTGGCAAAGACTCAATTCCTTTATTAGGATTCATTTGAGACATATAAAACGTTTTAAAGATCTCATACTGAGTTTGTGCACAAAGTGGACGTTCAAAACCGTAAATTTGGGTGGGTACGTTTTCAGAATCGTTTTTTTTTATTTATTTAATAACGACGTAGAAAAATGTAAACAAAATTATACATTAGAGTAGTTAGTAATTTAGGAACAGATTGGGGGGGAAAGTTCAGCAACACTTTTCGATTTACCTTCATTTCTTAAAACTTTGTTTGTTTGAATTCTGAATTGAATATCTTCATGTAATTCAATAAATAAAAATAAACGATTCTGTAAACGTACCCACCCAAATTCACGATTTTGTACGCCGACTTTGCGCTCAAACTCAGTAAATATAGATCTTTAAAACGTTTTATATGTCTCAAATGAATTCTAATAAAGGAATTGAGTCTTTGCCACAAACTCAGATTTTCAAATCTTTATATCTTTGAAAGCCAAATTCTTTTGTCCACAATACTGCATATTCATTTCAACCACAATACATAGCCGGTCACTCACTTTAATTTATTTAAGCTTTAAATGGATCAATTGATAAATAGTTTTTTTAAGATTCCAGAATTCTTTATTCAAGGTAACTATGGTACTATTTCTAGATTAATAAATGAACTTTGTCAAATTTCTAATATCTTAATAACCTGATGGTGTTACCTATTGATATTTTTAACATAGACTATTTAATCTAACATAATTAATAGTTTGAAATATCAAAGGTCTACGACATCGGTTTTTAAAAAATATAGAGATTATTATCTTTCTTAAATTTCCTTTTTTTTCTTAATTTAAAAATACCTCTTCTTCCGGAGAACTTGGAGCTTCAAAATCTTCTTTAGTCATTGACGTTACTAATTTATCCTAAATAATAATGGTTAGAAATTCTCAGAAAAAAAACAGGAATTCAATTTAAAAAAAACAAAAACAGAAAGAGTTTTCAGTCTGGAATTTAAACAGAAACATTAAGAATTCAAAAATATCACAAACCTCCTTTGCACAACTAATTCAGAGTATGTTATTTGTGAGAAATCGATCATTAAAATTCAATTTCCAGTAAAAAAAAACATATCTTTAACGACTGAAATATCTATGCTATGACGCTCCAAATTAAAATCTTCTGCACAGAAAAACAACCTTAAAATAAATTATCTTTTTTTCAATTCAGGTTTCAAACATTTTTTCCAGAATGCCTTCATTTACACACATTGGTGTTTAATATTATTTTAGCTAAAAAATGGTTAAGAAAGTTCAAACGTGAGATTTTATATACTTCAACAAATCCAATAATCAAAGGTGTTTCGCAGGTCTAAAGCTGAATTGTGAAAGAAAAGGGAATCAAGTCTTTGCCACAAACTAAAATTATCTAATCCTTATATTTTTCAACCTGATGTTGTAAACCTGTAAGAAATATCTAAGGTCTCCGACATTGTGCTGAAAAGATATAGAGATTAGAAAATTAGAGTTTGAGGCAAAGACTTCATTTCTTTGTTTAGTCATTTAAAGCCTTACAGCTTGAAATAGAAAAACAAACAATACATGTTTACATAACAAGTTGTGTATATGAATATCCTCTAATCCTATATTAACAAAGAAGTGCTTGAGTTTATAATAAAGAGAAATAAGGCATAAATGTTAATGGAAAACTCAGCGTGGTATCGGCAGTCACACTTTTAAATCAAATTATTTCAAACATTTTTGAAAGAAGTAAAAACACAACCGATATAATAAAGCTCTTTCGCTTATATACATTTATATGTATGTTAGCTACAGCTGGCCAAACGGCTGGACCAAATTGGCTGACATTTTTTAAGGAAACCCATGAGGTATCCCGGAGATGACATAGGCGCAAAAAAATAGATTTTTCCCAAACAGAATGATTCTTTTTATTCTACGGGCAACGCCGAGCACTTCAGCTAAAAGACAATAAAACCTTAGAAAGGATATTTGTTGACATTTTGTATCTGTTTTTATGGAAAAGCCGTGCCAGTCCCGTAAAAACAAAATACATTCCAGAAGATATTTTTGCAATTTGAAATAAAATTTTAAAAATGTTGCCAACTCATAATCCACCAATTATATCAAGTAAAGAAATGTGGAGAAGCAATGAGACTCTGGAAATTACATTAAAACTTGATGTTCAGAAAATTAAAAGAGATCAAATAATAATATTTTTAAATAAAAGAATAAATAAAATGTATTTCGATTAAAAGGAATTGAGCCTTTGTCACGACCTCAAATTTTTAAGTCCCTACAACTTTGCAACCTGATATACTGAAAACCTTTGATATTTTGAATTTGGTTGTAAAATTACAGGGATTAAAAAATCAGAGTTTGTGGCTAAGACAAAAGTCCTTTTGTTTAAATTTATTTTTGCAAAAGTTGCGCAAATATCTGTCAAATAAATAAAAGAATAAAAGATAATTGACGTGGAGAAAAACTTACAATTTTCATGTTTATTCTTGTGAGTTCCTCCATGGTTGCGTCCTGCTTCTTCTTCTCTGGGTCCTCCTGATCCAACCTTTCATACTTCTTTACTTTACGCCGCAGGAACGGAGCTAGGATGGAGAAAGCTCCAGGCGCCATTCTTCTTATGCTCCTGGATAGAGTTTAGGTTTAGTTCTACTCCTATATAAATTTTAGGTTTAGTTCTACTCCTATATAAAGTTTAGGTTTAGTTCTACTCCTATATTTTTAGGTTTAGTTCTACTCCTACATAAAGTTTAGGTTCAGTTTTACTCCTATATAGAGTTTAGGTTTAGTTCTACTCCTATACATAGTTTAGGTTTAGTTCTACTCCTATATAGAGTTTAGGTTTAGTTCTACTCCTATATAGAGTTTAGGTTTAGTTCTACTCCTATACATAGTTTAGGTAAGTTCTACACCAATACATAGTTTAGGTTTAGTTCTATTCCTATACATAGTTTAGGTTTAGTTCTACTCCTATACAAAGTTTAGGTTTAGTTCTCAAGTCCTATATAGAGTTTAGGTTTATTTCTATTCCTATACATAGTTTAGGTTTGGTTCTAGTCTTATACATAGTTAAGGTTTAATTCTACTCCCATTCATAGTTTAGGTTTAGTTCTACGCCTATGCATAGTTTAGGTTTGGTTCTAGTCTTATACATAGTTTAGGTTTAATTCTACTCCTATTCATAGTTTAGGTTTAGTTCTACTCCTATAAATAGTTTAGGTTTAGTTCTACTCCAATACATGGTTTAGGTTTTGTTCTACTCCAATACATAGTTTAGGTTTAGTTCTACTCCTATACAAAGTTTAGGTAAGTTCTACTCCTATACGAAGTTTAGGTTTAGTTCTACTCCTATACATAGTTTAGGTTTAGTTCTACTTCTATATAGATTTTAGGTTTAGTTCCACTCATAAACATAGTTTAGGTTTAGTTCTACTCCTATACATAGTCAAGGTTTAGTTCTACTCCTATACATAGTTTAGGTTTAGTTCTACTCCTATACATAGTTTAGGTAAGTTCTACTCCTATACATAGTTTAGGTTTAGTTCCACTCATAAACATAGTTTAGGTTTAGTTCTACTCCTATTCATAGTCTAGGTTTAGTTCTACTTCTATATAGATTTTAGGTTTAGTTCCACTCATAAACATAGTTTAGGTTTAGTTCTACTCCTATACTTGATATATTATAACTATAATTGATATGATTGACAGCTGTATAGTGTTTAGATTAACATGTAATTAAACTATAGAAATAGAATCACAAGTCTAAACATCTTTAAGATAAGATTGCTTTTAGCCGACACACTTTTTTCTGATTGCGAAAAAAAAATTTGCACAAACAATGTAAAATGAATAAAACAAATTATATCGAATAGGAAACAGGTTTAATTTAACAATCTATTGAGTTAATACAACCCACTGGGGACTATATATCCGTATATATGATATATATACAATATATTGAACCGTAAAGAATCCAATTTACAAATTGTTTTTAAAAATGACAATTTGAATTAAAAACATGTCTTTTTAAATTTTGTTTATACAGAAACGAATGTTTTCTTTCTGGCCTATTTGCATTTTTAATAAAATTTTGAATTCTAAATGTTTTAACTGTTTTTTTCTTTGTAACCAAAGTTAAACGATAAACTAGATCTTTTTCATATTTTCAATAGAGCAGTTTTTTAATGTACCTAATCTAAACAAGTATATTGCATAAGTATCTAATTAGAACATTTATTTAAATTTTTCACTTTATTTTCTTCAATATTTAAAACGAATTATTAATTTATCATAAATAGAACCGGGGGGAGGGGGGGGGGAATTCGATAAACATTTAATCTTCGAATTTTAAATGTTAATTCTTCGAAAATAAATCAGGTGAATCCAGAGAACTATTCTTGAACTATTCTTGAACTATTCTTGAACTATTCTTGAACTATTCTTGAACTATTCTTGAACTATTCTTGAACTATTATTGAACTATTCTTGAACTATTCTTGAACTATTCTTGAACTATTCTTGAACTACTCTTAAACTATTCTTGAACTACTCTTGAACTCTTCTTAAACTACTCTTGAACTATTTTTGAACTATTCTTGAAATTCTTGAACTCTGCTACAGAAAGAGGAAATAATTTCAGCGCTAGAAAGGAGAAGAACGTATCCTGTGTTTGAGTAAAAAAATCAATTTCTACCTTTATTACTAATACACCTTTTATATCTTTACGACCCCCCTTCCTAGCCGCTAAAGTACTAATTATCATCCTCTTTTTAAGATTAAAAAAGTAAAACCTTATTTTGAATGGAGATCAGGGTGTAAATCGGAAGGTTTTATGTCTGGACTCAGGTTCAGGTTCTCATGGTACAGTTTAACACAGAGATGCTGAGATATTCTCCGGCAGATGTGAACTGTGGCAACAATTGATCAGATATAAGAGGAGACAGTCGGCCTCCCGCCCTTATACTCCGTTCTTACCCCCGGACACGGTTTTACTAATTTCTCAATCTCATGACACCAGAAATCCAACCAAGATCAGATTTAAATCCATATTTAATCTCTGACGTGTGGATCTGGTTCTAATCTCTGGGTTTCATGTCGGAGGTAATCCTACTCCGGGTTAGTTTCCGTTACAAACCTTCACGGAGAGTTGCAGGAAGGAAGAGATCTTCACAGAATTAACATTTAGAAAACTTTAAAAAAACTTAAGAAACTAATTTATTGTTTCAAGCAGAACCAGCACAGAGAAACCATGTTTCAAGCAGAACCAGCACAGAGAAACCAGGTTTCAATTGCATTTTTGGGTATTTGGGATCGCGTTTAAATATATCTACAAAATTCTTTTTTCCCTCAAAAATATAATATTTCTCTCTTACAACATCTATTATGCCGGGGCTCATTTCCAGTCATAAATTCTAGTTTAGTTCAGAACTTTTCATTTTGATTAGTATAACGATGCATTCTCTCTCTGGGCATGCATTATTAATTTGTTAAAACTTAGAACTGCCTTGCAGAACTTTAATTAACTGAGGTTCAGTCGTAGAAAGAAATTGAGTCCTGGCCACAAATTGAAATATTCTAATCCGGCCGTTTATCTTTTCAACATGATGGCGTACTGTAAACCTTTGACAATTCAAACTTAGATTATTTGATAAAACAGAATTCATAGTTTATCTGGTCTACAACATTGGGTTGCAAAGATATCGGGATTAGAAAATCAGAGTTTGTGTGGCAAAGACTCAATACTTATTTCTGTCGTTTACCCAACAGTAAAGATCTAAAACTTAATTTTGAAAGCCCATGAAAAATGACATTAAAAAAATTGTCCCATCTTATTTTGTGTAAAATTTTTATTTTTTTATTTGAACAATTTTTAACTTCAAATCTGGCAATGCACCTATATTGCAACTCCATACCATAAATCTAAGGCCATTTTCTACGGGAGAGGGGGGATGCCCTCGAGGCCATGCGTAGATTCAAACCATCCAGCCTTTTTGGTTTTAATAATGGGACTTAACTTATTTTATGTAACTCGTTCATAAAGATCTCACGCAAAAATCTATGAAAATGTTTACAATTACTTCTTTAAAACTAAGGCTTAAAAAGTGCTATATTTTTCTAAAATATACGTGTCTAGGGCTACCAAAAAGTCGACCCAGTCTTGAACATTGATGAAATATTTCATAGAAGTTTGGATCTATGTGCGCGTTTAACTTGTTCATTTGGAAGCGATTCTAAACCATAATTCATCAATTGGAAAGTTATTAATTAGTTTTACCATTATACCTTTTATTAGATTTTTACTAAATATAATTATAAATTTCCTATTTAGTAAAATTTAATAAAACAAAAAATGGTAAGTCATAATTTATTTTTTCTAAGTTATCACATTATTTATGATGAAGTTCATTTGCTCTGAACATTATGTTGTTTTTTTTCATCAGACAGTTTTTTTACTTCAAACAATAAAATTGTATGTCAAACTAGCTGATGGGCCCGGCGTTGCCCGTGAAATTTAAAAAAAAAAATTTTTTTTTTTAATATCTTAAAAAAAATTTCTATTTTTTAGCCTATAACACTCTCCGGCCGCCCATGAGTGTCCACAAAAAATTTCAGCCCAATCGGTCCAGCATTTTGGCCGGCTATAGACAACATATATAATATTTACGAATGTCTTGTTTTATTATATAGATGTTATCGAAAGAAAAGTCTTGCTTCCAAAAGAAAGTGTTGTGTTCTTATTTAAAGGAAGGAAAATAATGATGAAATTTTACATCTTGAAAAAATGTGCTTATTTTGAAAATTATTATAAAATTATATATTAATAGATTTTTTATTTAAAAGGAAGAAAAAATTAGTTAGATGACACTAGTGGCTGTTGAATTATAACACTTGTGACCGATAAAATAGGTCAAAGTTGGTGAATAAATTCTGAAGTACAATGAGAACCAGTAAAGTGTGGAATAGGAACAAAATTACTTGAATTTGATGTTACAAAGCAAATAGTTTCACTTATTAGATCACTTATTAGATCACTTATTAGATCACTTATTAGATCACTTATTAGATCACTTATTAGATCACTTATTAGATCACTTATTAGATCACTTATTAGATCACTTATTAGATCACTTATTGAGAGCAATGGCCGGGCCTGTTTACGCTGTAAAATTTTATGTTCAAATTGTACTATTTAGAGTCATACTTTGAGCCTTAAAGTTGTCTTCTTATTCCAGAGTTTTTCTAGTTCTCAGTGTATTAAAAGTTTTGTGTTCATGTTCCATAAACCCTTAATCTTCTAATCCAATATGTATTGGAAGTTTTATCAGGTTCCGAGAGATTCAAAACCTTTCAAGGTTCAGATATTTATAGAGCAGGAGTCAACTATATATATAAGATATTTATATAAGAAAAGAGACAGAAGTCTGATGAAGGAACATGGAATACAAAAGGTAAATTTTACTTTAAAAGTGATTTTTTTAATGTAGTAAAATAAAAACTTGAAACAAAAACATTTTTAGGGATGCAAAAATGTTGGAATTTGGTTTTTCAATGTAACGAAGCAAAAAAATTTTAAAAGACGACCTTTAAACCATGAAAAGAGGCGTTAAACAAGGATTGCACACAAAAAGGAATTTTTTTTGTGCAGAGCCTTGAATGGGTTGAAAGCAAACACACTATCCTGTATCTTCAACCTTCCCTGGAAATTAAAGATACGATTCACCACGTTTGAAAACTGTGAGACAGCGCTAGAGATGGGCATCTCTAGACAGCTCTAGAGATGGGCATCACTAGACAGCACTGAGACGGACATCTCTAGACAGCTCTAGAGATGGGCATCACTAGACAGCGCTGAGACGGACATCTCTAGACAGCGCAAGAGACGGACATAGTTTTTGTGAGCGAACAACATTTTTTTGTGAACGATGGTGTCGTTTAGAAAAAACGAACTATGGATAAATGACTTGGATCATTCAGAGAAATAAAAAAACTATAGATTTTAAACGAAAAAGACTAAAACAAACGATTTCTAAATCGCTGGTTTGAACAAAATGGAAAAATGTTCTTTTTTTAATGACGAACCAATTTACTGAAATATTTTGAAGAAACTATTGCTTTTTTTACTGAACAAACAAATTTTTCTAACAATTTTTTTAAAAAATTTAAAGTTTTTTTTATTGAACTAATGACTTTATGGAATGATCGTTCAGTAAGAAATAGAACAAAATAGATGGAAAGTGAACAATATCTTGCAGAACGAATAAAATCATTTTTTATTGAACTATTGAAAACTGAACAAAATGGGTTGTTTACGAACGCTTAACAAACGCGCACATCTTCTAAACAGCTTAGTTAGTGGGATAAATTTAAAATCTGTTGTTTTGTTATACGAGGGACTATGGTATATAGCTCAGTGTATATATATCTGTTACCCAGAGAAAAGAGATTTTATGTTTAATGATAAAAGTTTGAGTATTTCTTTAAAAATTGTAAAATTTAACCTCTGAATGGGTATTATATGCAATAAATGGCAGTCAAAAACGTTTAGTAGGAATGTAGCCATGCCGGTACGACTACAACCAGATTAGCAGTCTGTCTCATCCCCCATCCTCATCCCCACGTTCCTGTACCTACCTAAACCCTACTCAATGGTCACAATAACCATCCTCAGTGGACAGATGTTGTGAGTTCAATTTTTAAGACCACTGGGTGGAACTACAGGGTGTCCCCTATTAAAGTGCTCGTTTTCAATGAAAGACGATGTAGATGCGCGTATGAGACGTTCTTAACAATTTTCTCCATATAGACGCAACAGAAAGAAGTAAGATTAGTAGCGATCAGAAGCGATTATTTACCGCCGTAAGCCTATACCCCCTTTCATTTTTCGCGAACACTCCCTTTAAAGAGCTCGTTTTCCATGAAAGGCTATATTCTTTGTAGAATCGCGTACTAAGTTTTTAAAATATTTATCTATCTTATCTGGATTGGATTTGGTACAAACTGCAAACATACAAAGTTACTGTTTTAACAATTGCGGCCGAACTAAGATTTACCGTTGAACAAAGAACTTTTATAAACTACATGGTCATCAAATTTTAAAGAGACTCCTAGGGTTGAGATGATTCAGCAATTGTTCTCTGGTAAACTTCCTGGGGTTAAGCTCCCCTCTTGATAAACCATGTTCGATTTTAGAAACATATCTGGCTCACAGTTCCTGTGCAAATCGTATAAAAGAACAGCGATAACTCATGAAAATTTGTATGTATTAGGATTTTAACACGAAACTCAAAGCAGAAAACAAATCTGGAACAAGTGCACTGAGTACATCCCTTCCCTCTGCACTTTCAAGCATAGGCGGCTTCAGGGGGGGGGCAGTCCATCACCCCCCTGAGTGAAATTAGGGGGGTGTACCCCCCTGGATTACTCCTATTGGAACAGGTAATCTATGACCACCGACAGGTTGGTTAAGCTGAAAAGAATGGCGATGCTCCCAAAAACCTCAATTTCGGACAACACGTTTTAAATTCCTTTATTTTAAGCGGCTTAAGAAAAACAAAATTATCGTAGATTGAAGAAGAGAGGATGTTTTTAATTTTTTTTTTAATTTTGAACAAAAATTCCTTCTTTTACTTTCAGCCTTCTTAGTTCTCATGGTATATTTATAATTAATGTGTTGAGTTCAGTCCACAATATTTTTTTATATCGTTATTAGATAAATAAATGGACATTTATTTACCCTTCCTCCCTCCGAGCTTCCGTACACTACATACCCTCTTGACTCCAACTCAACCCCATCCCCTGTCTCAGAATTGGCTCTTGCTCAGCTCTCTACCCTTAGCTCTGGCTTAATAAATAGCCCCACCCTACTATACTGGCTAGACCGGATCTAGGTGGTGGAAAGCCGCCTGCTTGTATAAATTGCACAGTGCAGACTCTCTAGATGTGCATCATACACTAAAAACTGCATTCATTCCTAGATTAGAAGGAGAACGGGTTCATCGGAATATCTAATTCTATACGTCTATACACGGATAGGTTTAGTCCTTGATAAATATGGTGAACGAAGACGACGTTGAGCAACCTGAAAGGTCTGAAACCCTGGCAGAATCCTACAAAAGGACAGGGAAGAAATGTATTGCTTTAATTATAATTATTAATGTGGTTGCCATAACAGCTATTCTTCTCAGCTCTATACATAAGATAGAGGAAGGAAATGTGGGGATATACTTCAAGAACGGAGCACTCATGGAAGAAACTACCCAACCCGGGATACATCATATGACCCCATTTATTGTAAACATGGTGGAGATTCAAACCAGACCTCAGACAGATCATCTCCCAACAATCGTGTCAGTAACCAGAGATGGGATTGAGAACACATTTAAAGACATTCAAGTAATCAGTCGGGTTCGCCAGGAGAAATTGGTTCCACTAGTTCGTAAGTTTGGGATAAAGTTTAGAGAATCTTTAATCTTCGACAGAGTAAAGGAAGAACTGAGGATATTCTGTGCTAATAACAGTATTGATGATGTGTACAACACTAAGTTCCTTGAGATAGTTGCGAATGTAAGAACCAATCTGATCAACAGTATTGAAAGGTTGGGAGAGGGAGGAATTGAGATCCTGAACCTTGTTATTTCTAAACCTGACATTCCAGAAGATATTGCACAGAACTACAAACAGGTTTTTGAATTATATCCTTTTAACAAAACAAAATAAGTCTGTTTATAAGAATTGCAGTTGGAAAAATTCAATCACATCTTGAGATTATTAATAGATCTTACGAGTTAAAAACATGTAAAAGACGACATTTAGACGGATCACTGACAGCGGTGTTGTTCCTCTTATCCTGATGCAACATTTTATAAATAATCTCAAAGAGGTCCAATTCTGTATCTGATTTCAATACCCCCGCCCCCAAAGTCAAGTGTGACTAATTACTAAACACTGTAGGATAAGAAGACTCAAGCGCACAGAATTTATACCACCTTTTTAGCCTTCTAGGTTACCTGCGGCTTAAAACTTGTTTTTTGCTTGAAAAAAATCTAAGAATCTAAAATGTAAATATCTTAAATTTCTAAAAGATCTTTGAATTTAAATTGATCAAATCATATCAAATATTTTGTATTTTTAGCCTGCTGTTTAATGTTTTCAGGTAAAAGTTCAGTGGACTGAGCAGCTTGTAGCAACACAGATGCAGAAAACAGAACAGATTAAGAAGGAAATAGAGATGATTAAAGCTATAGCTGATGCAGAACGTAACAAGGCTGTACTGGAGATCACTATACAGCAGAGGATCCTAGAGAAGGAAGGGGAGAGGAACGTCTCCTCCCTGGAGAATCTGATTAAGAAGGAGAAGGAGGAGAACTTGGCCAATATTGAAATGTATAGGATAGAAAAAGAGGCTGAAGCCAATACAAAACTGTACACAGAACCGTATATCAAGCTCAACCTGGCCAAGCAGCTGAGTTCAAACACCAAGTTTTACTTCTCAGGAGAAACCTCTCCTTTGGGTGCAATCTTTGAGAAAATAATTGGATCCAAATCCGAATAAACAAAATTTCTTGAAATGTTATTAAATGTCTGCTAACTAACACAATATATAATGATCCTTAGTTGAAGTAAATACACTGCCACAGTTCTCTTTCCATCTTTTAAGAATGAATTTATTTTAAATTTAAAAATCGTAAAATCTATTGGTATCGAAATAAATACCTAAAAATAAATCTAGGTTTCAATATTTTATTTGATAAAAAAGAGAAAAAGATAGTATATTTTCCTGCATTTTAACAAACAATTTCCCGCATTTCTAAAGTTAAATCTTATTGTAAGAGCAAATCAATACTAATGTAAGAACAGTAGTTTTTTTATTTTCTATTTGTTTAGATTACACCTTATGAAAAAAAATCTGCCCGTGCGTGTGTAAATGCTTGAAAATTGCAGGCATTGTAATGAATTCAAATAATTTTCTCAAATTAGCTAAACTAGGATAATTATTTCAAAACAGGGAGATATTTGAAAATAAAATGAAAATCATCAAAAACACCTTATAATAAGTTAAGAGTTGATATGTCTTGCTTCTATTTATACCATTAACCATTTTTAATAAAAATGGGTAATAAAATTAAAGATTATTGGTCAATGTAAACAACCTTTTTTTCAGCTAGATACATATAAATATAAAGGTTTCATTTGAGCAGATAATACATCTCATTCTCAACATCTTTATAAATTATCTAATTTCCAAGTTTTTTTTTTCAGAAATTGAGATGTTGAGATGTATTGGGCCAGCTCAAATGAAGTTTTTATGTATCTATCTAAAAAAAGATTTGTTTTTACATAAACCAATAATCTTTAATGTATAATGCTAAAACAAATGTCGTCAGTTTAGCTAATCAAAACTATATGATCGCCACAGGCTACTTTGGACTGAAATTTGCGATTTTTCCCCCCTGCAAAATATCTGAACAAAGACAGTAAAAAAGGGGGAGCAGAGCCATTTTTTTAATTTTCGGTTTAAAGTAATCTTTTTAAAGTACTTTTCATAAAAGGTCGGATTTAACTTTCACATTTTACTCCAAAACCCTGGGAGCAACTATAAAATCCTGGGAGCACTCCAAAACCCTGGGAGCAATTCCAAAACTCTGAGAGCAGCCACCCCTCCCTCATTGAACAGTTCTTATCCTACTGTACGGATTGCATTAACAAAATCTAAGAAAATTACAAATTAAAAAAGGTTATTTTAAAGAAAGATTGGATCATTCAGACTCTTTAAGGGACATCTTTGTATGGTAAGTACGGCTTAATTGTGATCCTTTAAAAAAAAATATAGCATACTCCATCTCTCTATATAAGTTTGAACAAAAAACACTGCAAAAAAGTACAAATAATGAATTATTTAGTTAAAGATTTTTTAAGAAATGTAAAACTAAGACGACTTTTAAAGTTATTTTGGCTTTGCTCTAATATAGGAAGGAAAAAGGAGGAAATACTATTGAAATAAAACACATTAAACCCATAAAGAGAAATTAATTCAAAACTTTTCCACAGTCTCCAAAACCAGTGAAAGAGTTTAAATTGAATTTAAAACAAAAACTATTTAATAATCTTATTCAAGTATTTGAAATTGAAAGTTTTCTTTACGTTTATGAACTGTATTATAGACTTGCAAAAAACTTCAAAAGTAAAAAGCGAAGATTGAGTGGAATAACGAAGCATGGTTGCATACAAACTTATTTACATTATAACAATACAAACGATTAGTGTTGGACCAACTTTAGTTGATCTAAATACACACAACATTCACCTGAGGTGAATATATTTCCATTTGACTCTTCTGATCAGATTCTTTGTGAGAACTGCCCAGGTCTTCGGGGATTAGGTGGCTTGTGACACTGCTTTCTTCTCCAGCTAGATAAATGCCATTTCACTCTTTTCTCCAGCATCAATCCTCCCCTAGCTCTACCCTTTTAAAGGTACCGACTTGATATCTACCAGATAAGAAAGGGTTCAATACCCTTGCGGGTCTAGCCTGCAAACACACTCAGGGTTCATTATCCTCTTGGGCTTGGGTTTGGATTGTTTGGCTTTATTCTTGGATTGAATTGTTAGGCTTTATTTCTCTGCTTGGGAGCAATGAACTGTACGGTACTATAGTTTAAGAACCCTTGTTTGGGTTCACAGTATCCACTCCAGTAACTCCAGCTCCCTCCATTCCACAAGCAGCATGATCTCCAGCATACACCTCTTCAAGTTAGCATCAATGCTAGAACTGACTGACCAGTGTTAAGCACCCGGCCCTAGGCTATCAATGCCCCCCATATCAAGTATCATGAATTTGTTTAAAAATTATTATTTTCTATATGCTTGAGACAAACATATATATTTGATTTGATTCGATTCGGTAAAACTGTAGCTCATGTGTATAAGTATAATACCACTTGTAAACATTTAAGATTATTAAGAATAATCTCTTGATTATCAAAACTTTCTGTATGTTATGCAGGGTAAAGATTTATTTAGCCGAAGTATAAAACAATCAAGAATGTAATGCAAGGAAAGTTATTTCAGAAGTGTACACATCTTTTGTACTGCATTGTACTGTCTCTGGGCGTTAATGTAAACACAAGACGGATGACGAAGCCTGACATGGGATCCATCTTTCACATAAAAAAATCAATGAAATATTCTGGTCATAGGAAACTATTATGTGAATTAACAAAATTATCAAAATTTAATGCTTTTAACCTCCTCGGATACTAAACGAACACTGATGCATCTATCATTGTTTACAAATTCCGCCCAGAGAGAACTGGTTTCAATATGTACACAGAGTATACACAACCGCAATTGACTTTCCTTGCATTATACCCTTGAAAACAATTAACTTTTACAATAAAGATTTTAACAAGTGGGGAAGGCAGGCGGCCATGAAAAGCAATTTCCTTACACGCACCATATAAGCTTTTTTGTCTTCTGGCAGCCATGGGCCCATGAGCCACGATTATTTAGTCCTTAGTACCAAAATAGTTACCTTTTGAAATGGTTAACTTTTGCTTCTTTCTTTTAATGTTGCATGATTAAATATAAATTACAGTATTTATAAATATAAATCTATAAATCATAATTTGGTGAAGAATAAAAATCTTGAAGATAAAGAATAAATTAACAATGACGTTATTTCATATTAAAGCTTTATGCTGTCCTCTGCATTTTGTATGTGGAATATCCCTCCCTCCATTACCAATCACGTCATTAGTTACTTCTGGCTGTAGCTTTCCCCCTGTCTGTAGGTTTCCCCCGTCTAAAGGTTTCCCCCTGTCTGTAGGTTTCCCCCTCTCTGTTGGTTTCCCCCTGGCTGTAGGTTTCCCCCCGTCTGTTGGTTTCCCCATGTCTGTAGCTTTCCCCCTATCTCTAAGTGACTATCCTGTAACTAAGAGTTAGCACAAAGAAAGAAAGCTGGTTCTCCTAGACAATATTATTGAGCCAGTTATTATTCATACAGTTTATGTTCAACCATGTTGGAGAATGCCGAAACGCTCACCAAAATCTGAAATCTACAAACCAGAAGATTCTCAAGATCCAACTGAACTAGAGGACGTATCTAGTGTTAAATCTAGTACTTCAAGTCAGAGACTTAACTCCGAGCCTGGAGAACCAGACACTCCGACAGGATATCTAGAAACAAACCTTGACGAATTGGACGGATACACAAGTTCTCCAAGTTTAATCTCTAGGGTTGATACAACATTACATATTGAACCTACAGAATCATTTACTCCAGATAATCTTGATATTACTCCTCGTCTTGGAGATATTGCTGAGTCAGATCAAGATCTTTCTCGTGTAATTGTAACCCATCGTCTTCTAAGTGTTGAGAATAGAGAGGTTCAAGAAGAACCTCATAGAACAAAAATGTCTGACTCATTTCAAAAGGTGAATGGTTTAAAATGTGGAGCTATTGTTCTAGTAACAATTCTTGTAACAATAACAGCTGTTCTACTAAGCTCTATACATAGGATAGAGGAGGGAAATGTAGGAGTATACTTCAAGTATGGAGCCCTAATGAATGAAACTACTCAACCTGGAATTCAATATATGACCCCATTTGTTGTTGATGTAGTTGAGGTACAAACCAGACCTCAGACGGATTCTCTCCCAACTATCATCTCTGTAACCAGAGATGGGATTGAGAACACGTTCAAAGATGTCCAAGTAATCAGTCGGGTTCGCCCGGAGAAATTGGTTCCACTAGTTCGTAAGTTTGGGATAAAGTTTAGAGAATCTTTAATCTTCGACAGAGTAAAGGAAGAACTGAGGATATTCTGTGCTAATAACAGTATTGATGATGTGTACAACACTAAGTTTCTTGAAATAGTTGCGAATGTAAGAACCAATCTGATCAGCAGTATTGAAAGGTTGGGAGAGGGTGGAATTGAGATCCTGAACCTTGTTATTTCTAAACCTGATATTCCGGAAGATATTGCATTCAATTATAAACAGGTAAGCTATACGCAAGATACAGAAATCATAATTAACAGATCAATAATTAATAAATTAATAAATAAATAATTAATCCAGTAGTTTCTTTTTCAGGTGAATTAGGTTTTAGGTACTGTAGACATAAATTCAACTGCAAGTGACTATTTCTAAAAAAATCCATGTATTTATCTCATAAACGGTGTTCAAATTACTGGACACATTGAGTGTATTTCACTGTTAACATATTTCTCGACAATTTCTAGTAAAAATTGAACTAAAATTTTTTATTTTCTTTGACTTCTGGAAAGAAAATTTAAAAAGCTATAAAAAAGGTTTTAACAATTACAGTCGTCTCTTTAGATAGAACAAGGATCAGGACATACCGGTACCGGTACATGCCACTCTACAATTTGTATGGACGCTACGTTCTTTGGTTTGAGTAATTTTTAACAATTTTCTCCCTATAGACGCAACAGGAAGACGTAAGATTAGTAGCAATAACCATCAAATATTTTTAGACGTAAGTCTATACGGCCATTTCATTTTTCGCGAACACTCCCTTTTCGGCAACTGTTTAAATACCTTGTTTGGAACTTTTTAGTTGATTTTGTGATAATATTTTTACTTTATAGGAGTTGCTCCACCCCTTTTGAGGCGTTTATGAGGGGGGGGGGATGAAGGAAGCACTTATTTCTGAACTGGGGCGAGAGTCATTTTAACAGTGTGGGGAGGGGTTGCCAAGCCTATGTTGAAACATTTGTTATGAACAGAGCGTAATTTTTTCCGTTTCGTGAGTGTAGGGTTGAAAATTAATTGGCAGTGTTTACTCATCTGTTAGTCATTTTATTATTCTCCCAGAAAAAGGTCATTTATGTAACTTAATGTTTTCAGGTAAAAGTTCAGTGGACTGAGCAGCTTGTAGCAACACAGATGCAGAAAACAGAACAGATTAAGAAGGAAATAGAGATGATTAAAGCTATAGCTGATGCAGAACGTAACAAGGCTGTACTGGAGATCACTATACAGCAGAGGATCCTAGAGAAGGAAGGGGAGAGGAACGTCTCCTCCCTGGAGAATCTGATTAAGAAGGAGAAGGAGGAAAACTTGGCCAATATTGAAATGTATAGGATAGAAAAAGAGGCTGAAGCCAATACAAAACTGTACACAGAACCGTATATCAAGCTCAACCTGGCCAAGCAGCTGAGTTCAAACACCAAGTTTTACTTCTCAGGAGAAACCTCTCCTTTGGGTGCAATCTTTGAGAAAATAATTGGATCCGGGTCAACTTCTAACTAATCTTTTATTCACTACAAATAAAAGAGAAAGTATAATTAAAGTATGTTGATTAAAGGGACAGTCAGAGAAAGTATAATTAAAGTATGTTCATTAAAGGGACAGTCAGCGTAATTTCAAGTGACCCTTCATGCACAGATGGCAATACCAGATTCACAACGAGGCCTTACTACCGTCTCCGAATGCCAGGAGTTATGAACACCTTACTAAATTGGTACCAGTCCGACTCTATCCTCATACTATGCAGTGATTAATTCCGATCCATGATTAGCTATATTTCAACATTTCATTTCAAATAGGAGATTTGATTTTCTCAGTATCCGCCTGGCGTGTCCTATCACTGGGACTTACAAATAGGAATTGTTAGAAAGAATTGTAAACCTAGACAATAACGACAATATCTACCACATTATTGATCAAATAAATGGTTCAATAGTACTGTTGTGAATTGAGCATTGACATCTCTGCATGGAATGCATGGAGGGTCCATTTTTTAAAGGTTAATACTACCTCTCACAGAAAATAAAAATCAAACCGAATAAACTAAATTGGATGATGGGACATTTTCCAATTCTTAGCTACATTTTTAACCTTGTCCGACTTAAACTTTCTGTCCCAAGGAAGAGTGTGAATATATTTTTGAACACTTTCGTTCACAGCATGGTCCAAAGAAGGGCAAAGTGCAGTGATTGCGGATTTTTTTAATTCATGTTTCTGGATTTTTCCCTCTTACTGAAATTTCACAGAAATTAATCAATTATTCACAATTAAACAATAATAATTTTAATCAATTTGTTTGTTTGTTTTGATCTCAATTATACGTTGTATTTCTGCAGAAAATATAATTATATGTTTCTTAATACTCTGAGCCCACGATTTAAAAGCTTCTGCTCGAGTCTTAAATCCTTAGACACAGGTTTAAGGCTCAATCTTAAACCCAACTTATGAATCAACTGACGACAGCTTGTGTCACATGATCGACAGCTGCCAGTTTTTAGGCCCAACTTGAGGAGTTAGGCCTAAAAAAAAATAAAACCAACCTTGGTTGGTTTTATTGGAGAACTAGTCTCAATGTTGAGTCTTATTCTAATCAAATCCCTCGAATCCACCAATTCAAAGTTCCAACCATGAAAATCCACCAAATTTACAATATTAATTTGAGTCCGAATTTAATGAATTTAAGCCGCATCTCAAATCTACCAAAACCGGTTTCAATTGAGCGCCGGCTTAAATCTTGAAACATTGAATACAATTTTAAGTGGAACTAACCATATTTGAGCCGCGTCTTAAATTTAAGCCGCGGCTCAAATTCTTTAAATTCGGCCTCTGGTTTAATAAATCTAGAGTCTTTAAATTAGACTCAATGACAGCACAGACCTGAGTCTATTTTCCCCAAATTTTTAAATCGTGGGCTCTCTTTACGTTAAAATAAATTGTAAATTGAACAAAATTTTTAAATGTTTTCAATAATAAATAGTTTTATTGAAAAGTTATTGTGAAGAATAAAAATATTTAGAATATCTATTATGAAAACGGATAAATTTCACATATTTATGCGTTAAATCAAAACTAGAAGATCTACAGTATCGTCGAAATATTTTACCTTCTCTTCTGTCTAGTTCAATGTGATGTTGTAAATGATTTTAATCATTCCGTCTAATGGTATTCCTCACAAATAACGAGAATAATACACAGCAAATACTGGAATATATAAGAGTGATTAATCTTATTCCTTGATATATAATATTTATGTATTGTATTCATTTATTTCTTATTATTAAAAATATGAATTTGTTTGTAAATTCAAAAGGGAGAGGAAAGAAAAAATACGAAAAGAAGAGAAAAAAGATCAGAAAAGAAAAAGATTTAAAATTTGGTGATGGTGATGGACCAAACCTCTGTAGAGTAAAAAAAGTAGACGTTAGTTCCACATTAATTGAAAACATGTTGACCCTCGTCAGTTCTAACGATATAATAACCATCAAAATCGATAAAAAAATATTGGACAGCTTGTTTAAGGAGGGGTAATTAAAAAGAAAAAGATAAAGAGAAGATGCAAAAAAGTCGAATAAGAAGATCAAATATAAATATTTTGATAAAAAATGATGAAAATAAGATTAAGATTAATTTCAAGTGACCCTCTAGTACTAGCTGAAGTGCCCGGCGTTGTCCGTGAAATAAAAAATCTAATTAAAAAAGAATTTTTTTTTAGCCTACGTTACTCCCGGGATACCTATGGGTTTCCTAAAAAAAATGTCAGCCAATTTGGTCCAGCAGTTTTGCCAGCTATAGCTAACATATACGATATAAAATGTGCCGAAATATGATAACTTTCTTTCTTGTCTCTGCAGCTTAATCCGCAAGTCACGTTTACAGCGAAACCATAATTGAAAGTAGTCAATGTTTAGCTAGAAAAACAAAGATATTTCAATTAATACTTGATCAGACGAAGGTTTAAAGGGAAGCGCTAACTTGTACGTGCTACATATAAATGAATGAACCTTGAAATAACGTTCCTTAAAAATGTAAAGAAAAAAATATTAAGAATTTCCAAAATAAAGAAAGAAAAGATAAAAGAAATGATAAAGAATGAATATAAGACAAGAATAGGAATACATATGAATAGAAGAACATTACTATTTACAATACACTACACGGAGTTAATGATTCCTTGATAATCTTCTCCTTGTTCATATTAAACCTTGATTATTTCCATCCTACATACTTTAACACTATTTAGTATTCAGTTCTAACCGTTTACAGGAACAGAATATAAAACTCGACAAGTTGTAACTAGAAATATCTAGAAATATCTGCATTTTTCTAGGAAAAATTATCTTTTTTAAATTGGTTTTTTTACACTTAAAGTTATTTGAATTTAAAGATAAATAGGATTTAAAGCATTTTAAAAGGAAAAAAAACTCTTAAAGTTATTTATCAAAATAGGATCAAAATAGGATCAAAATAGGATCAAAATAGGATCAAAATAGGATCAAAACAGGATCAAAATAGGACCAAAATAGGATCAAAATAGGATCAAAATAGGATCAAAATAGGATCAAAATAGGATCAAAATAGGATCAAAATAGGATCAAAATAGGATCAAAATAGGCTCAAAATAGGATTAAAATGTTAGACAGTCTCGACTTCAAAGTGTCTTGGCATTTGGTTTTACCTCTTTTACATTTTTGTAGCCTTAGACATATACAGTTTAAAGTTGCATCGCCCATGCTTGTAGCAGATGGGTTTATATTAAGTAACTGCCAAAATACTACTCGATTTTTACATCAGGAGCTTGAATATCTTGGATCCCAATGAAGTACAGCACGACCTCGTTTCGAAGGTTAGCTTTACAAAAATATATTCTCCAGTTAAACCATGCTCCCCCCTCCTAATAGATTAAAAATTTATAATTAATTTTAAAAACAATGCTTTCTAAAAATAAAGGAATTGAGTCTTTGCCACAAACTCGGATTTTTAAATCCCAATTTCTTTAAAACCAAATGTCGTAGACCGTAGATATTTCAAACTATGAATTCTGGTGGATCAAACAATGTAAGTTTGAAATATGAAAGGTATCCATCATCTGGTTGTTGAGATTTTGGTATTATAAAATTGGAATTTGTGACAGAAACTCAATTCCTTTAGAGAAAATGGTTAATAATTCATCAATATTTTAATTGGTTAGAGAACCTGTAAAATAATGAAGTATATATAACATTGCATTATAATCTAAAGGAATAAAGCCGTTGCCACAAACTCAAATTTTAATCCCTTTATGTTAGCCACCTGATGGTAACCCTGATTTAAATACTACTAGAGAATTCAGTTTACCGCTAAAACCACCTTTTTTCTGCGCTTGGATAGAAAGATATTGAGATAGAGAACATTTCTGTGTTGTAAACTTTTATCATCGAACTTGAATATTCTTGTGATCAGCACAAAATAAACATTTCTGAAGCGTGGGGGGAATGGGGGGGGGAAGGGGGGTGAGGTAGTGAGCAGAAGCCACTCACTTAAATAGTTTTGTGTTTCTGTGTTTGAAATCTATATTTTATGTATTTTTCGCGCACACTTTTTGTTTTGTTGATATAGACTTTTTGTTTTTGTAAACAAACTTGACAGTGATACAAAGTTTGCAAGCTCTCACCCAAAAACCATTGAGAATTACTTGTTAAAAACTATACAGCTAAAAATAAGTTTTAGTAGTTCTAAAATACAAAAAATATCATCGAGTTAATTAGATAAAACAAATGCCAAAGACCCGATTTAAAAAATGTATTAAACTTCTCACAACAGTAAGCATCTAATGTACCTAAACAGTAAATAAAGCGTGAACTGTGTTCTCAAACTAGAAATATCAACTGCAGAAGACCGCTGTTGCAAAAATGAAAATTGTTAAATTTGAATTTTGATGAAAATAAAAAATTCAAAATAAATCTTTTCCTTTCATGTTTGCGATATAATTATTCAAAGAATTAGATAAAACTTCTCAAAGAGAATTTAATACATTTAAAATTATCTTGTGATTAAATAATTTTTTCTCCTCCCTCTTATATATATGTAATTTAAATTCGTATATAAAGTTAAATCAAAGTATTTTAAAGTTATGATTAAAATCTAAAGTGTTTTCAATTAGAGCTTATCTTTCTTCTAGAGCTTCTGAGAATAAGAAAACTGTAAAGAATTTCTAAAGAAATTGAGTTATTGTTAAAATCTGAATTCAGAATTAATAGTTTTAAATATCTAACGTCTCTGACATTGGGTTGCAAAGATATAAGGGAGAGGAGAGGAGAAAAATGGTCAGCTGGATTTGTTGTAAAAGCATTTTCAAGTGCTTTAGGGGAAATCTAAATAAGTATATACAGATTTCATCAAACAACCCTCTACATTGCAATTGAAATTTTTTATACCTGTTTATGAAGGATTTCTTCCAAAAAATGTTTCTTATTTCAAGCATTTATTTTAGAAAAGGCATCTAATACTTTGGTAAATAATCAAAACCTCTTTTATATATTTTTAAGATGTTTTAAAATTGCCAAATGCTTTTCGATAAAATAAATCATCTCAAAACTACATCAGCAGTTCTCTGACGACAGGTACAGAAACTGAACTGTATTCACACTCGCCTCAAACTCAACATGATTTTCTTTTCTTAATGTATTTGCAACCTGATAGTGTAAACCTTCAAACTTTGATCAGTTGACCTAGCAGAAGTTATGATTTAAAATATCAAAGCTGTACGCATCAGATTGCAAAGCAGTACGCATCAGATTGCAAAGCTGTACGCATCAGACTGCAAAACTGTACGCATCAGATTGCAAAGCTGTACGCATCAGGTTACAAAGCTGTACGCAAAAGATTGCAAAGCTGTACGCATCAGGCTGCAAAGCTGTACGCATCAAGTTTGCCAAGTTTGCTTTTTTTAAATTACGGAAACTTTTTACTTTGACCAAAAATATTAAACAAAACAGGTTTTCAAATCGATTAGTAAAATTGTTTTAATAAAACTTTATTAAAAATGGTTTTGGTTGATGTCTTAGATCAGAGAAAAAATGTATCATAATAAATAAACCCTAAATTAAAGTTCCCACAATGTATATCGAGCTCAATCGATTGGAATTATAATTGTATCTAAAAAAATTTCAAAGCTCAGCTGTGGTATTCTACTTATATAAACCCAAGAAAAAAATGAGAAAATCTTACCTAAACTCAGCTGGGGATATATGGGTTTAAGAACATGTTTACGTTATTAATATGGATTAAAAGAGGTCATGAGCAAGTGATATGGTAAAAAATATTAACCCTGTATCTTCAGAATATACCCATATATTCATGTAAAGATAGTGAGAACTGAGTAAGGATGTTCATGTAGATTTTATGTGAATACATTTCCAGTTCTCTAACTAGATTTAACCAGGTTTAAGCAGATTATACTCATTTAAATAAATCTTTTCCGGGGGGGGGGGAGGAGCTGTGTATTATCCCTTCCAGACATTTTCCTCCATTAAAATAACGTGTTCGAGGATTTAAAGTTTGTCTTTTTATTATCTAAACAATATAAACCCAAGAATTACCCACAAAGGATGAGACTGTAAAGACGACCTGAAACTAATATATATTAAGACGATCCATAGATTAAATAAAGTCTTCTGTCCTTACATATAATATTTTCATGGTTTACTTCATGATTTGGGAGGGAA